CCCTACGCACATCCAAAAACTTCTCCAACAGGGTAAAAAGGGAAGCCACAGACTGGGAAAAAGTATTTAGTAATGACATATCAGATAAGGGACATATATCCAGAATTTATAAAATACTTGAGCACCACAAAAAGATAAAGGTAAATAATGCAATAGAAAAATGGGCACAGGATATGAACAGGCACTTGACCAAAGGAGACATTTAGATGGCTAACAGATAAATGAAGAAATGTTCAAAATCCCTAGCTCTAAGAGAGATATAAATCAAAACAACTATGAGATATCATCTCACCCCAGTAAGAATAGCAAAATTTAACAGAACAACAAGCAACAAATGCTGGCGACGTTATGGAAAAACTGGAACCTTTATTCACTGTTGGTGGAAGTGTAAAATGGTGCAACCACTGTGGAAGGCGGTATGGCGCTTTCTCAAAAAGTTGCAAGTAGAGATACCGTTTGGCCCAGCAATTCTACTTCTGGGAATACACCCCAAAGAGACCATAAATGACATCCAAGCAGATATTTGCACACCCATGTTTATCACACCTTTGTTCACAATAGCAAGAAGTTGGAAACAACCTAAGTGCCCATCAACAAATGAATGGATAGAGAAACTGTGTTATATTCACACAATGGAATACTATGCTGCATTGAAAAACAAGGAACTTATGCAATATTATTAAAAATGGGTGGCTCTGGAGGACATTATGCTGAGTGAAGTATCTCAGTCACAAAAGGACAAATACAGCATGGTACCACTGTTGTAAAACAGGACTGACCTTGGGGTTGGGGGTAGACTGAGAAAGATGGGTTTAATAATGTATACTGAATTGAAACAGATGAGGGAGAAAACTGTTTAAGAGGGATATGTTATTAGGTATTTTTGTCATGACAGGAGTCCAGAGTGAAGGTTTTATAGTGGAGTGGACCTGGGCGGGCGTGATTGTAAAACAATGAAAGAATTTTTCTTTTACTTTTCGAAGAGGGTAGTATACTAGGGGGGAGGGTTGGGAGGGGGTAAAAGTGCAACAATGAATGAATGGAAATCCAAAATCTCTGTAAATTTTCATTGAAATCAATAATAAATTTAAAAAAAGAAAAAAGGGGGGGATGGAATAGGTTTGAAGCATTGAGTACCAGTGATTGAATACCAGATGAGTAGTGGGATGATATTAAGGATATCATCCATGAAGAGAGAAAATGGTCACTACAAAGACAGAGGAGAGAAAAAAACCTAAAAATGGATGTCAGAAGAGACTCTTAAAATTGCGCTAGAGTGTCAGGAAACCAAAACAAAGGGTAAGATTTTGAAGTAAAAGCTGAACAGAAGATTTCAAGAGTGCAGTTTGGGAAGACAGACCAAAATATTGTAATGGAGTGTGCAAAGACCTAGAACCAGAAAACAGAAAAGAAATAATTCAGTCGGCTTTTCTCAAGCTAAAAGAACTGAAAAACAAATTCAAGCCTCATGTTGCAGTACTGAGAGATGCTATGGGAAAATTTTTTAATAATCCAGAAAGCATCAAACAAAGATGAAGAGAAAACACAGAATCACTGTATCAAAATAATTAGCCAACACTTAAATATTTCAGAAAGTACTGTATTGTCAAGATCCAGTGGTTATGAATGAAGAAGTTCAAGCTGTACTGAAGACATTGACAAAAAATAATGTCCCAGGAAACAATGGGCTATCAATTTACATACTTTAAATGATAGATGCAGCCTTGCATGTGCTTACCAGTCTAGGCCAGGAAATTTGGAGGACGGCGGCTCTCCAACATGCTGACAGGAAGATATCCATACTTGTTCCCATTCTCAAGAAAGATGATCCAACAGATTCTGGAAGTTACCAAACAATATCATTAATATCACAGGCAAGCAAAATTGTGTTGAAGATCATTCAAAAATAGTATATAGAAAAGTTCAAGCTGGATTTAGAAGAGACTGTGGCACCAGGGATATCATTGATGATGTCAGGTAGACTCTGGCACAGAGTACCAGAAGGCAGTCTACTTGTGTTTTATTGACAGTGTGGATCATAACAAATTATGGTTAACATTGAGAAGAATGGGAGTCCCAGAACACTTAATTGTCCTCATGCAAAACCTATAGTTAGATCAAATAGGCTGTGAACAGAGCAAGGGAACATTGAGTGATTAGGAAAGGTGTGTGTCATGGTTGTATCCTCTCTTCAAACCTATTCAAGGTGTATGCTGAGCAAATTATTTGAGGAGCTGGACGATTTGAAGAAGAATATGGCATCAGGACTGGAAGAAGACTCATCAATAACCTTCATTATGCAGATGGCACAAGTTTGCTTGCTGAAAGTGAAAAGAACTTGAAGTGCTTGTCACAAAGGATCAAAGACTACAACCTTCAATAAGGATTGCATCTCAACCTCAAGAAAAAAAAAATTCTCACCACTGGACCAATAAGCAACATCATGGTAAGTGGAAAAGAGATTAAAACTGTCAAAAGATTTCATCTTACTTGGGTCGATAATCTGTACACATGATATCAGCAGTCAAGGTATCGGGAGATGTTTTGCACTGGGAAAGTCTGCAGTCAGAGACCTTTCCAGTCATTGAGAAATGATGATGTTATTGTGAGGACTAAGTAATGCCTGATACAGGACATGGTCCTTTCAAGCACTTGCTACACTGCTGAGAGCTGGACAGTGAATAAAGATGACAAAAGAACATGATGCTTTTGAACTATGGTGTTGGAGAAGAGTACTCATTAACCCATGGACTGCTAAAAGAACAATCAGATGTCTTGGAGAAGGTGCAGCCAGAGTGCTCGTTGGAGGCAAAGATGATAAAGATTCATCTCCTATTCTTTGGGCAAGTTGCTAGCAGAGGCTATTCCTTGGAGAGTGATAACGTGCTTGAGAAGGTGGAGGGATGGCAAAAGAGAGAAAGGCCCTCAACCAGGTAGATTGACACAGAAAGAAACTGCAGCAGTGGGCTCAAGTGTGTCAGAGATTGTGAGGATGGTACAGGATGGCCCAAGGTTCAGATCTGTTGTTCATAAGGTTGCTATGAGTTGTACTCGACAGTAGGTAGCAACAACAGAAATAGATTTTTAAAATGAAAATATGGAAAAGCATGCTGAGTTTTCAAATACTGAAGTGTTGATACCATCCTAAAAGCTCATTGAGTACAAAAGAATAGGCATAATGGGTAATTTGAGTGGTATTAAAATTTAAATGTAATCCTTAAGTTTAGTAATAGGATTTGATAAAATATATTAGCAGAAAATTATGAGCTTGGGAATCTTTTTGTGAGCCTCAGTAGAAATAGTAAAAGAAAAAAATATTTTCTGAGACAACACAAAGTCTAAGATTAATAAAGACATTAAATTGGGTTGCTTTGGGAGATTTTTACATCATATTATATGTGGGACATCTGTCTAGAATGAGTTACTTTACACACCCACAGGCTGCAAGTCTCTAGCAGTTCAAATGCACCAGAGACTCTTTGGCAAAAGATGGGCAGGCTCCTTACAGCTTAGAACCTTGGAAATCTGATGAAGGAATGCTGTGAGTCAGAACTGACTCAGAGTTGGTGAGTCTATCACATTAAATGAGATTCCCTGTGCTAGATATCTAAATGAAGAAACCCATTGCAGGTGATGTATTAGACTGCTAGCCAACACATAGCTGTTAAAATCTAGTAATACAGCCTAGAGGAAGAAAGTGGTTAGAATCCACCAGACTCCACAGGAAAAAGATGAGGGTGTCTGTTCTTGTAAAGGTTTACAGCCCCCACATTGTATTATAGGACTGTTATGAGTCAGACTCTGCTTGACTGTTGTGGATTTGGTTTGATTGGGGAATTAAAGTAATGAATTGTATAGGTCCCTGCTCTCAAGAACTTCCGATCTAAAGGTGAGGGTGGCAGGGGAAGACAGACTGATGTGAGAAAATCATTATGTCTAATATGAGAAATGACACAATTTTGCACAAGTTGTTGGAGGAACCCTAAGGGCCTACGCTTTTATTATGCTTTGCAGTGTTTCTGTGATTTCTGATAGAAAACACCAGAAGTTCATAAAATTTTACAGGTTTCAATGATTGACTACTATCTGGATTGTTATTGACCTTGGCCAGAAGAGCATATTTTAGTGAGGAACATCAACTCAATGGGAATGGGAGGAGAACCCAGAAAGAGAAAGGGTATGACTTGAAACAGAGACAAGAGCTTGGGAGATAAGGGAAAGAGAAGTGTCCAGTATTGCTCACAGAGCAGATGGTGATGCCATACTAACTGTGAAAGGCAAGGGCGGGGTAAGGGTGAGTGCCTCACTTTGAGCCATTTGAAATGTTGACTAGCTGTGTGGAACTTAAGTTGGGTAGAGACCTGAAATTAACCTGGGAACATGAATTTGGGCACCCTTAACGTTTTAATAGCTCATTCTGATTAAAACATGATAAGTGGTGGATTTGGGGTTCAAATCCAGGAGGCAAAATTCCTCATATAAGTGTTCACATAAAAGCCCAAAAACTGATGGGGAGTCATACTGAAAGTCACAAGAAATGAACAGCGCCGTTTTCAGAGTTTATTGTCTTGAGCCCTTGGGTCCAAAATGCCCAGTAAGGAAGATGGTCTTGTAGGGCTTGAGTACGTGCTATCAGGTTCATATTACCTAGGTAGTAATAAAACCATGTGACAAGGTGGGAAGTGAAACTGTCTGAATTGCACATGCCTCCCCAACTTGTTGGTGTAAGAGACACAAGAAAGGAAGAATACTTCCTTTAAGGCCATTAATGGAAAACGATAAGCATCTTAATCTTAGCCCATTTCAGCTCTAATTAATTTGGCTCAGAATTATCTGTCTTTTGAGGCATTTGAAATATTCTATGTAAGTGGAATGGGTATTATAAATGAGATCTATATTTAGATAATAAAAAGATTTTTAAGTGATGACTGGAACAGTTTTTGAAGTCTCTTTATTAAGTTTTACTATATTAATGCAATCTAATTTGCTTTCTTGTACAGATTGATGATTGTGGATTTTCTTTGAATCATCCTAATCAGTTCTTCATTGAGAGCCAGCGGATTCTAAATGGTGGTAAAGACATCAAGAAAGAGTCTACCCAACCAGAAACTCCTCAGCCAAAACCAGCTATCCAAAAGGCCAAGGATGCATCCTCTGCTCTGGCCTCATTAAATTCCTCTGTGGAAATGGACATGGAGGGTCTGGAAGAATATTTCAGTGATTGATTGTTAGAGTTTTGGTAACCCTTTTTCCTCCCTAGCCTTCATGACCTATTTTGCCTTTTTTACCATTTTTGTGTAATTTCTTCTTTTACCTTAACCCAATTTAATGACATCAAAATGTGTCCATAGTTCTTAATGAACATGTATGAAAAATGAAGATTTTTTTTTTTACTATATTTTGCCCTGACAAAAAGAGAAATGTGGTTTGAATTGTGTGGTTTTTATCTTATTTTAAGTAGGAAAGAGAGCTTTCTAGTGTGGTTACAGTCTCCTAGAAATATTGCAACTGAAAACCGTTTTAAATACTTAAGTCTTTGTAATTTTGAAACAACCTTTTTCTGGATTAATTTTGTCAATAAATATGAAATGTACATGAGAGTTATATGAGTGTTTTTGTGTGTAGACAGGAGAGTCCTGTTAATAGATAACAGATTGGACATTAACTCACTTTTTAAAGTATACTTTGGTGTATCACAGTAGAACTACGTCTGATCCAGGCCATCGTGTTTTCAACTGCTTTCACGTCATCTGAAAGTTAGACAATAACGATGACAGAAGAATCAATGCCTTTGAATTGTGATGTTGGTGAAGAGTCCTAATTATCCTGTGGAGTTCCAAAAGCACAAACAGTTCTTTCTTGGAGAAAGTGCAACCAGAGGGCTCCTTAGAGGCAAGGATGGTGACATTTGGTCTCACTTATTTGTGGCATAGTGTCAGAGGAACCAGTCCTTAGAGACACCGTTCTGGGAAAGATAGACGGCCAGGGAAAGGGAGGAGGACCTTCAACGAGATGAGTTGACACAGTGACCGCCATAATGGGCTTGAGCAGGACAGAGATGGTGAAAATGGTACAGGATCACGAAAAGTTCCGATTTGTTGTTCAGAGCCATAGAGGGTCACTATGAGTCGTAAAAACTTGATGGCACTTGACAGCACTTTATGGTTCTTCACATCAACATGGAGAACTTTTGCCCTTTAAATAACAACAGATCTACTGTAGTGAATTGTTGTGTACACTGGAATCTGTCAGACCCTCAAGCAAGTTTTCAGAGGCTGTAAACTCACAAGAGAGGAGATTGTACATTTCTCTCTCTCTGGAGCATCTGATGGATTCAAACCACCTGCCTTTGGGTTTACAGTGCATCTCCTTACCCACTAGGCCACCAAAGCTCCATGAAGAGAATTAGAACTGGAGAATTCAGAGAAACATTTGTATGGTCACATATATTTGTTAATGAACTAGGGGGTTTATTATATAAGATGATGGTACTCTTTTAACTCTTGTTTCCCATTCACACAGAGGGCATAACAGTTACTGAAGGAAAGGGATGCAGGAGAAGTCTGATTATTGCTTCAGCCCCCCGTCTTCTACCTTCTGTAACATACTCCGGTGGCTGATAGAAAATGTCAAATCAAAGTCATTGCTGTCTGATTGGAATGGGCTTCAGAGCTCACCGCCCAGTGGGTTCTCGGAGCACAAGGAGATTACTCATCTTCCTCCTAAGGAGCCATGGGTGGATTTGAACAAGCAGAGAAGTGTGGCCTCTTGGCTCACAGCACAACTCTCCAGGGACTAGACTGTCAGAGCTCCTAAAATGTCAAATAAGCTTGGCAAATTCCTTACCTTCAGCTATTAATACACTGCTTTTTAGAACAAACTTTTAGTACAGGGGATTCAATTTAGTAAATGTTGTGAATGATTTGTGGTCACCCTAGTGTAATGCCTTGCTCTTTTTTTTTTGCCCACCTTTGGCAAGCAGGTAGGATGTTGTTGTTGTTGTTGCTGTTATGTGCCATCTAGTCGCTTGCAACTCATAGGGACCCTATGTACAAAAGCCCTAAACTCTGCTCTGTCCTGTGCCAATCGCACTGTCTCTGACACTCCCATCCCGATTATCCCAGTCACTGAATCAATCCACCTCATAGAGGGCCTTCCTTTCCTGCGCTGTCCCTCCACCCTCCCAAGCATGATGTCCTTCTCCAAGGACCGGTCTCTCCTCACAACATATCCAAAGTATGTTAGACGGAGCCTCAGAATCCTTGCCTCCAAGGAGCCACCCGGTTTAACCTTTCCAGGACGAATCAGTTTGTTTTCCTAGCAGTCCATGGTATTCTCAATACTCTTCTCCAGCACCACAGCTCAAAGGCATCAATTTTCCTTCTGTCCTCTTTGGTCATTGTCCAACTCTCTGATGCATAACAAGTGATTGTGAAGACCATGGCCTGTATCAGACACACCTTAGTCTCCAGAGAGACATCATTGCTCTTCAGTACCCTGGAGAGGTCCCTAACAGCAGACTTTCCCATGGCAATACGCCTTTTAATTTCCTGGCTACTGGTGCCAAGAGTGTTGACTGTGGAGCCAAGCAAACTAAAGCTGTGAACAATCTCAATCTCTTCACCATCCATCCTGATGCTGCCAATTGGTCCAGTGGTGAAAATCTTTGTCTTTTTTACATTGAGCCTCAATCCATATTGGAGGCTGCAGTCCTTGACCCTCTGCAGCAGGTGCTTCAGGTCCTCTTCAGTTTTAACAAGCAGGGTTGTGTCATCTGCATAACACACATTGTTGATAAATCGCCCACCAATCTTGACCCCACCTTTTTCCTTATAGAGCCCAGCCTCCCGGATAATCTGTTCTGGATATAGGTTGAAATGGTATGGAAATAGGACACATCCCTGGCGTACGCCCTTCCCAATTTTGAACCATTCAGTGTTGCCCTGCTCTGTTCTGACGACTGCCTCCTGGTCCAAGTATAGGTTTCTCATTAGCACGATCAAGTGTTCTGGGATTCCCATTCTTCTCAGAGTCAGCCACAGTTTGTTATGATCCACACAGTCAATCGCCTTTGCATAGTCATGAAACACAGATAGACATTCCTCAGGTAGGATAGGAGTGGCCTATTCATGGCATTCTATAGACCTCATTAGCAAGTGCCATTGTGGACGCTCTTACCTCACTCACTGATTTCTCCCATTGGTCTGTACTCACGCTTGTAGATTTGGGGCTTTCAGGAGAGATTATAATTGAAACAAATTTTTGAATTATAAGAAAGTTAACTAGTCTATATTTCGGTGCACTCCTTTTCTTTGTAGAGAGGCCTTTCCCCCTTATCCTCATGAATCTGATACTATAACTAAGCAGAGGGCATTGTATTCTGAAAACTAGTTTGTCAGAAGTACCATGCTTTTAATCCTGTAATTAATTAGCTGGCTCCACAGGAAAATGAAAGTTTTAACGGGATCAGAACATCAGAACCTAAAATACCAGCTGATCAGGTTTATATTCTAGATCTCTGCATCAAAGATTTCTTGGCATGTAAAGTAACATAATTAAATGAGATATTATCTCAACTTTTACTTGTCTTTGTGAATTATTATTACTTAGTTTAGGAAATGGTATTATTCTGCTGCAAATTACTGCTATAAATCTCTCCCTTCTGAGGCCATCTGCTCTTCTTTTCATCATTTATAGTTCTCAACAGGAATCTGATGACTGCCTACCACTTTATCCATGAGCTCCAAACCACAAGTAACTTTTTTCTTTAATGCAAGTGCTTCAGGGAGCTGTTTTAGCCACAAGTTAGCTTTAGAACGCTAATCATTGAATTATATTTAATACATAGATGTAGTTAAAGAAAGGAAATATTAGAAGCAGTCTCACTGCTTTGGTTCAATGAGAAATCTTATGACAGGATATTTCCTCCCTGGCAGCATTTTGCAAGGCTATCTTTCTGCTGGGTTATGTTCTCCTTTTATGAAACCTGTTCTTTTACTGGCTGGAAGGACAGCCATTAAAAGCATGGTAGATGTGTCTTAGCTGGCTATTTAAGACTGGCATCTTCAAGAAATTGTGTCATGCTACTTGAATTATATATATATATATATATATATATATATATATGTAATCACACCTCAAGAATAATACTAAATATTAGTTGTATTACAGGTTCAAATCCTTTTTAATAAGGTTTGATATCCTGTCATGTGTTTATGTGTTTTAGAGAATATATAAACATTTTGTGAAGTCCGTAGATGAGAGGAGTCAGAAGTTTGTATAAGAAGATAGAAATAATGTGGGTTTGGTGCTTTTTGGAGTTGGAAAAGCAATTTATTTTTCATGCTTCACAGCTCTTGACAATTTTGATTTGTTTTCTTTGAAAGCGGACCTGTTTGAATTGAATGATGTAGGAAGAACCCAAAAGGGAAAAAAAATAAAAAACCAGGAGCCTCTTTTCAAAACAGTAGCCAAGTGAGAAAGAATATGAATCTTCCTGATCTTTTAACTCATCCTCATTTATAACCTCTTCAAAGGAGAGGGACTATCTGATTATCAGAAACAAAAGAAAACAGCAGAGGAAAGGAACTGGGTTGGAAATTTGTGGCTGGTTGAAACAGTGGCATTATTAGTGGAGATTCATAACTCTTTCATGTTGCTTCTCCATAATCTTATTCTGTGTCTGTGGTACAGAACTCTTAATTGCAATGCAGTTAAAAGAACACTAGGAAGATTTTAAGTAAACTCTTTGAGAATGCTTGTGATGGAGAGTCATAAAAGTGACTAGTGCAGATTTTCAATGAGAGGCTGGTGAAATATAGCATTGGGAAAGCTCTTTTATTCATCTTGAATTTTAAAACTGAGACAATCTTCCAAAAGCTTAGAGGGTGTTTTGGGTTTTTTGCACATTGCTGTCTTTCTGATACTCAGAGTCTTTGCAAGCAAACTTCTGTTAAGTCTTTGCAAAGAAGAAAAGAAAACTTCTGGGATTTAAGTTTGAAAGGTAAAATAAGACAACTCCAAAGTTGTGGTTTGCTGAGACTCTACTGTTTGCAAATTTAATCAAGGTCTTCTACAGGCATCAGCTTGACATTAAATTTAAGTGCCCATTAAAGCGGGAGTATGACAGCCGTTCTGAATGTGAAGCTCAGTCTGAGGACATCTTTACAGCTGGAAGGGGGGCGGGGGGGAAGAATTGAGATGCCTCAAACCACTGTGGTAATTAGATCCATTTGTTAACTTCTTTTCCAATCCTGGTAAAGG